CTGTACAAAGATTCATTGAAAAGTACAGGTACCCAGAAGCCGATCAAGGCTCATGCACATGCTTGAGATGGTTGAGGAGCATCTTCAAAAAAAAAAAAAATCATCAAACGTTTGAAGAATTTAAGATCAGAGATCGGAACTTCAAGCTCAAGAGTCAACAACGACAGGCCACCGGAGATCGAGATTACTCTCCAGAGCTCAGGATAACATATGTTGCATATGCATTTTAGGCATACCTAAGAGCATGACATCCATAACATCACATATATGCATATCTTTGCAGGTTTTACCCAGAGCTAATTTCAGCTTCACAACGAAGGATATTGGACTCCGGACAACGCAAGTTCAACTTCACAACGAAGGGACCGCTGGTTGTCAACAAACATTTCTCAATTTCAGAGCCAATTTCAACTTCACAACGAAGGATATTGGACTCCAGACAACGCAAGTTCAACTTCACGACGAAGGGACCGCTGGTTGTCAACAAACATTTCTCAATTTCAGAGCCAATTTCAACTTCACAACGAAGGATATTGGACTCCAGACAACGCAAGTTCAACTTCACGACGAAGGGACCGCTGGTTGTCAACAAACATTTCTCAATTTCAGAGCCAATTTCAACTTCACAACGAAGGATATTGGACTCCAGACAACGCAAGTTCAACTTCACGACGAAGGGACCGCTGGTTGTCAACAAACATTTCTCAAATTCAGAGCCAATTTCAACTTCACAACGAAGGATATTGGACTCCAGACAACACAAGCTCAACTTCACAACGAAGGGGCGGCTGACTGTCAACAAACAATTTCCCAGTTCCAGAACCAATTTCAACTTCACGGCGGAGGATATTGGACTCGGAACAATGCAACTTACTTGGATTTCAACTTCACAACGAAGGATATCCAATTCCAGGCTCAACTTCACAACAAATGGTATCGTACCCTAACAGATTGACCCAACTTCACGACAAAGGGGTCACCTGTAACATCACAACACCAAAGTCTTCAGGTCAAGTTCCACCTTCACAACGAAGTATCTTGAGCCAGAAGACGATTCAGAGGCCACTTGTCAAAAGCTTTGAGCTCGTTTTCAACTTCGCGACGAAGGATTTCGTGCTCAGAATTTTCCAATTTTGGCTCAACCTCCCGGCGAGGGAGTAATTGTATGATTTAGTCCAATGATCGGATTTCAACTCTACAGGAGAGGATATTCGATGGGACTTGACCCTTATATGGATGATGTTAAATTTGGATACGTTTTGGGTAAACGAAAAGTGTGTCTTTTAATCTTTGCCCTATCCCCGTTACACGACTATGGGCAAAGAGGGGCAGCTGTAGACACATTTTTTTTTAAAATCACACATATTTATATGTTATATATATATTATATATTGTATAAATATTATTATTTTAGTAAACTAACAAATTTACATTTGTTTTGTTTCTATGTCAGACCCAACACGCGCAACCCTAGCAGTTTCCCCCATCCAGCGCCGCATGCTTCGCTCAAGGACTCCTCCACACCGAAGGCCTCTTATCCTTCACGTCTCCATGCTTCTCGGCAACAAACCAACAACGTGCATGTGGAAAACAACAAAGCATTAGAGTTCCATTAGGACTCAAACATGTAGTCTAAAATTAGGTTTTTATTTTAGTATAAATAGGCTTGTAATTAACACAACAAAGGGGATTTTTTTTGGATACTGGATTCACATACAAAATCACTGTGTAACATCCACCCACACACAATAGCCAAGAAGGTCCAAGCCCTTGTAAAGACGTTCGAAAAAATCAATAAAAAAGAGGTAGTTTTTTTTTTCTTTTACCTTGTCTGTTCGGTTTCTCACCTTGCATGTTGTATCTCCTGTGTTGTTTGGTGCGAACGGAACCCATGAGTTGCATTTTGGCCGACGAGCGAAGTGAAGCATTTTTTTCTGGAAAATCTATTTCCTAGATCTGTGTTTTTTTAAGTTTGATTTCTGAAAAACCGGTTGGATTTTGAACTATGAGAGAAGGATGCTCTTTAAAAATTTGGGTTTCGTGGTGGATCATCGCTGATGAGCGGCGGCGAGGCGGTGGTCACCATTCTCAGGCGGCGGCGCATGGCCCTTGTTCTTCATGTCTGAAGAACAAGGCAGAGGAAGAAGGGAATGGGAGAGAGCCTTCGGTTTCAACTAAGGCTAGAATGAATTTTAAAATGTTTTATTGGCTTAAATATTGAACCCATCAGGAGATCCGCGTGCAACCCGACCCATCATGAGGGGATCCGCGTGTTTCTGTTGTTTTAAAGGGTAAATCGCGTTTTTGACCCTCCTGTTTTGAAAGTTTCAATTTTAACCCCAAATCCAGTTTTTTAAACTCGATTTTTTTTAAATTCGACCTTCAATCGTGGTTTTCTTTCGATTTAGTCCAGTTACTATTATTTTGCCTTTTTTTAAATTTTAATATAGCCATTTTTTATTATTATTACTTTATATATACATGTATTTTTTTCTCCCTTATTTCATGACTTTTTATTTTTGTTTACAAATTATCATATGTATTTATATATATAAACGTTTCATCCCTTAGTTTTATTAGTTTTTTTTATAAATATTTTAATTATATATATGTACATATATTTTCTAGTGTTTTCTTTAGCGTTATATGTGTACGTATCCTATCATTTTTATGTTGTTTTGCATTAAAAACTATTGTATTATTATTATGGATATATGTACTATTATTTTCTCTTACATTTATTTCTATTTTCTTTATTTCTTTTTTTAATTCATTCAGGTATTCATCTATTTGTTTACTATACGTACATCATCATTATTATTTTCTTTATGTTGTTCATTTCCTTTATGTTTGACATTGTTTTATTTTGTTTCCATCTATTCCATTGTAGGTATTCCATTTTCTTATTTTATCCTTACCTTATCTCATTTTTTATTTCCTTTATTTCATTTTTCATTATTTTCAATACCTTTTTAACATGATTCTTGACTTTTTAAAGATATTTTCAAATCAATCTAAGGTAAATAATTTTGGATTATACGTTACCTTTTAATTTAACTTTCAATTTTCTTTATTAAAGACAACTGGAAATTACACAGTACCGAAAGGGCAGTTCAAGGGTGCTAGCCCTTCCTTGACTGTAACCGATTCCCGAATCCGACACATCTCAGGTAAGACGCAGATCAGGTAAGAAATAGGGTATCCGATCAACCCATTTATTTTTAAATAAATGATCGGTGGCGACTCCAATCTACATTTTTCAAGTCGAAGCCCAATTCCGGGGCCCAACCGAAAGACGGTTGCGACAATAATAAATTCAAATTTATCAAAAAAAATAAATTAAAATACCTTGGGATTATGACGGGGGAGGAGTGAATTGAGCAGGGAGAGCAAATCCTTCATATGATTTCTCCTGTTTTTCTCAATGATTCTCCTCTCAACTTTAGCAGAAGAGCAACGAGACCGTTTCGTTCCCTTTCTCGAACCCCAATTTTGAGCCAAGTGTTCCATATGAAGCTCCATCGCCGTAGACCCAACATGAAGCTGGCTTATTTTGGTGTCATTATATATACACAGACAAACAAATGTCGTTATTAATTTACCGAAAGGGAATGAAGCTGTGCAATGGACTCCCGCGCCCAACGATTGGATTTCTCTTAACACTGATGGCGCTGTAAATTCTCGCTCCTCTCTTAACACTGTTGGTGGAATTATTTGAAACTACGAAAGAACATAGTTAGTAGGATTCAACAAATACATTGGTCGCTCCACCATTCTTCAAGCTGAACTTTGGGGTATCTATGAAGGCCTTAAACTAGCTTGAAATTATGGTTATAATAAGGTTCAATGTCAAACTAATAGTGCCGAGGCTTTTCACCTCATCACTTCCTCTACCTATCCGACCTCCCCAATTTATATGATTCGTATGATTAACCAAATCATCTCCAAGAATTGATTATTAGAATTCAAATTGATTAAGCGTGAAGCGAATTTTGTTGCCGGTTATCTAGCTAAAACTGATGTCAACAATGATGGCTCAATATGCATCTTCCAATCAGCTCCAACTGCTCTTCACAACAGTCTTAGCCGAGATATTCTCGGACCATCCCACCATAGGACTAGTTTCTCTCTAATGTAAAATCTCTACTCTATTATTAAAAAAATGGAAAACGTCGAAATCGCCATTACGATGGATGATGGGAGATAAGAGTGAGATCAGGTGGTTTCGTCACTCAGCTTACGTAACCTGCCGGTTGAAAGGAAAACACTGCTCAAACTGCGGCTCCACCTATTAATAATGATTGCTCAAACACCCCATAGTTGGACAGCCAATGGAGGAGCACAAATTCTGATAGATATTTTGCAACTTCGATGGAAAATTAAATAATGAACTAAATATAACCCTTCCAATAACTTGGTTTTGTTATAAGCTTCTCTTTTAAAAAATTAATTAATAAGAATAATCAATTTTATAAAATAAATAAGAAATATTTAAAAATATTTAAAAAATAAATAATTTTATTTGAAATGATTATGAACAACTATCAATGTGATATAATAAGTCTGATTATTCAAATCACAATTATAATAATAAAATAATCAAATAAAAACAATTAAGGAGACATTAAATCTAACTCTAAAACAATGCTATAAGAGTAGGAGAATCAATTTATGAACCATAGTCAATAAGTATAAGCCTAGAAGTGATAAATTCTTTAATGGTAATAAATTTAATTTATGAAATTAAGAAAAAAATTATAGTATTAAGAAATCGAGTATAAAAAATATTAAACTCGTTTGAGTATTTACTATGCTCTTCTTAATTAATATTATACAGTAGAAATTATGAGCCAAAACAAACCTAGTTCTTCTCTCCGTCCTCTAATCATACTTAACAGCTTCTACCACCCTTTGCGAATTTAGAAAAGCCAAGAGATTATAATCATAATAGTGTGATTACTATCTACAAAGAGGTGATCAAAACTTAATTTGTTTATTTAAACAAAATTATGGTTCTCGTTTCCATTCACCGCACAACTTCGACAGCAGTGTAATGCATGGCAGGCAAATTCTCCCGCAGATCAAAGGTTAACATCGAAGCCTTGGGCTTCTGTGGCCGGTCGGAATACCCCAACTGCAACGGTGCTGGCGTTGTACTCTCGTACGTTCCAAGCCACTTGGCTTGCATGTACCTGTGCCTCCTCCATGGAGCCAAGTGCATCTTCTTCTCTTTCATGCATTTTTTGGCTGCCACGCATAGTATTTTGATCAATGCTCTCAGCCTCTCCGTTTTGCCGACGAACAGTTCCGGTAGCAGAGCGGTTAACTTGTTGTAATCTTCGTTGGCCCTCGCCATTTCGAATTCGGCTCGAAAATTCAACTCGATCACCACCGTTACGTTACCTCTTTTGGGATTCGATTTGTCGAGTACTTCTAAATACGTGTACTCCCCGGAGGGAATTTCAGGGGAGCTCCTCCACTTGGACTTGCATGTGTAACAATTGAAACCTGCGGTTTGGAGACGAACCGAGAGTTCCCTTTGTAAACATCTCCGGCATTGTCCGGCCACCGGTCTCCGACAAGCACATTGCACTCCCACCGTATTCAGTTCACTCAATGCTTCTTTCGTAGCTCGTCGAATTTTCAATTCTAGAGAAGTAGTTCGAAACAACGTTGCCTAAACCAACGTTGATGACAAAAAAAATGTTAATCATCCAATCTTTAAATTCTCCCAAGTCTATGGTTTTTTGTGTGTGTGTTTAATTTAAATTATTGGGCAACGTTTACCTGAAGAAGCCGTTCTTGGTTTTCCCAGAAAATTATCCTCTGTTCAACCTGTGTATCATCCTCATCGTCGCCGCCGCCGACGAAGTCTCCCGATTTTTTTTCGTTTAAATCTTTGCTTTCGTCCATGAACCCAAACATCATATCAGCAAAACTCGCCGCTCCGTCTAGGAATTTGTCGAATTCATCGGAATTCTGTCGAGTCACGGAGACCTTTTCCATTCCTCCGGCCACCGGAAACAATTTATTGCTTTAGGATTTTGGTGTCGACGGGTTTCGGGTTAGGAGACCAAATTTATAGCAGAAGTTGCATCAAACACTAAAATTATAACAAGAGCGTGTTGGGTCCTACGTGGGGTCCAGCTGTCCCAGGTGGACGAAGAAATCGCCGCGGCCAAGGAAACGGGTGAGGTCAATGCTTACGTGTCGAGCGGTCATTGTTTGCTGAGTCAGATCAAACGAAGCATGATACGAATTGAAGACCGAAGAAGCAGTGTGGATGTGCTTCGAAAATAAAAATATTCCGATATTAGCTTTAAGTTTTATTTGTTTTTTTTATTGTTATTTTAATTTTAAAACTGATTAGAGCTGCAAAATTGTCGTTTGGGGTTATGCTAATCCTAATGGTGGGGACTAACGATGGACATCTGATCGCCTAAGAAGCTGCCACGTCGCCTGAGATGGTACGTGGCTTTGACAAGAGATGATGTGATGGAATGCGCTTTTCCATTTTAGTAGGATCCACATCTTCTTGGAATATTCGAGTATCCAATATAAACAAGTGTAATCTACATATTTATTCATGCAACTGTTATTGTAATTTCATTTTAGTTATTTAATTTTTTAAATAATATCTAATATTACGTTTTGATCATATATTATTAAAAAATAAATGAAATTATTGATATGTGGATTCTGTTTAGATATATTTTGATCATATCTTTTATTTTGAATGTGTATTTTGATCATATCTTTGTATATTATAATGATGAATTTTAATTATAGTTCAGCAATCTATTTTTATTGTAATTATAACTTGATTTGTTATTTTTAAATGTACTTTTAAGACTTGTATACATCAAATTAATAATAATAATTGTATGGAGATAGGTATGCCTTGTCACTTAATGGCAAGTGGAATGGAGAAATTGATGAGCCGAATGAAAATAAATTAGAAAAAAGATTAATTGTTATCAGTTCTAAGTCTAAGGTTGTGATATTTCAATTAATTAAAACTCAACAACCCACCAGTTTTTTTATTAAAAAAAATTTATAAATACGAAGCAAGCGAATTTGGTGGTAAATGAATTGTTATTATTCCTTAGGGTTCCGAATTTAAGCACCATGAATACTAGAAATGTAAGCATTCGATGTCGAGAGTTGTTTTTAAACACATAGTACCTTATACTTATCTCATATTAATAAAAAAAGAAAACTTTACAAACAATTAAATAATAATAATAACAACAAACAATAAAAATTGCAAGAGAATCTTGCTGGTAAGATCCGAGATAAAAGGATAGAACTTACACTACAATAAAATAGGTATGTAACCACGTTTATAGTGTTTTTTTAAAATCAAAAGCTGCTAACTTTATACATATAGCGGCGTTTATAGTCAAAACGTCATAAAATGATAATATCAGTGGTGTTTTTTAAACAAACACCGCTACAGATATGTACTTTAGCGACGCTTTTTACGACGTTTTTACTGGTGTTAGGAAAGGTTTTAGCGGCACTTAAAAACACGCTATAAAACTTTAAAAACACTGCAAAAAATCTATTTTGGTGCAGTGTTAACAATTCAAAATGGAACACAACTATTCATACATATACTTCAACAAAGTAATAATCTATAATTGAGGGATTATTTTAATTTTTAATAGTTAAACGACTCAATAAAGTAATATCCTATAGTCAATGAGTCATTTGTATATATCACCTTTAATAATTATATATTTTCAGGATAATGGAACACATTAGAAACCAATATATCTTTGCTCTGTTTTTTACTTTCTTCAAACATTTGAAAAGTATTAAAATTTAAATATAAAAATTATATACACTAACAAATTATTTAAAAAAATCACATAAATACTAGACACTAAAATTTTAAAAAATTAAAAAAAAATCAGAAAAAAAATATTAAAATATTACAGAAAAAATCATTGAGAATAATTAACTTCACAACTTAAGTAATTCTGAATTCCAAAAAGAAAGAATATAATAATTTATATGTGAAATCAAGTCCAAGGCAGCATTGCAAGTGGCATGTATTGATGGTAGACTAATTAGTAAAGTATTAATCAACAAATGAGAGTAGGTCAACGAGGCTAATTTGGATAAGATTCAACCTCATATTACCATGGAAAACTGTTCAATGTTTATTTTTTTTTTTCTTTACATTACAACAAATATCAGTAAATTAAAGTGAACCCACAACTTTTATCAGTGCATGGGGCACCATCGAGGAGTTTTAAGCTCCCACGTCATCATAAAATAATGCACTTTTTTTGGATAAATAATAATGCACTTTTCTTGCTTTCTTTATTAGTTATTTTTTCACGTTTGAAGGCGATGGATAGGCTAAGCCGAAGCAGATGAATCCAAAAGAGCATATGTATATGGTCGTTGTGTGAATAATTTCAAGATAAAGTTACAATGGGAAAAGGTTGATGATGATGATGCATTCAGTTTGTATTAATCTATATCTGACAGAGAGGAAACAACTTTGAAACCCTAAACCTGACGTAACTTTCCACTAAAATATTGCAGTCTGAGGTTTTATAGGCGAAGGAGACAACAAAATTTAAACTATTAATGATCTTAATTATCAATATAAGTTAATTAATTTACATTATGAAATGAGTAATGTCCTGCATGAATCAAATGGATACAATCTTATGAATGTTAGCCTTCTATGGATAGACAGACGAGTAATACATGTCACGAGGAGCGTAAAACACAGAAAGATACCACCATTGCTGTTGGTTTGGTGTTTGTCTTGCAGGGTTACAAGTTATTGTCTGTGTGCATTTTACGATCTATGAAAACCAATATTTTCGGAGTTTGTGATTATCTTTTGCAATAATATTATTTCTAAGGATCGAATCTGTGCTTTTTTCTTAGGAGTACATTGTGTCTTATTACTACAACGGAATTATAATTATGGATCTAAGCAGATTGGATTAATAACGTATCAGATTATGCACACAACACAAAGGTGAAAAGTGCATGCAATAGAAATGGTTTGAATAGCGAAATGATACAGAAAAAGAAAAAGAATGATAAGGAGAAGCGAGTTGAAGATTCAAGATGGAATGAGTTAAGCAGTTTCGATGGACAGGCGGATAAGACCATTGGAGGTATCTCATTCAATGGACAACGCGTTCGGATGCATAGACGACACACTAAATGAAAAAAATGGAAAATTTGAAAAGAACATGCACCAGCCTGGAATAGAACCTTAAGTCTGTGTCATGGCAGGGTACTATTCAACCACTAGACTACTAGTGCTACTTGCTTCCCTTTGGACAGTTACCTATTAATTTATATCCATTAAACATTGACAAAAAGAAATACAAGCTTGTATTAGGGAACAAATAGACAATAAAAATATGTACCCGAAATCTGAAGGGGGAGTGGGAGTGAAAATTTTGAAATGTTGGAACATAACTTGTATTTTATTTTTGGTGAGGAGTTTGCTTGCTGGGGAAGGCTCCTTTTAGGTTGCCTGAGTCAGAATTTATGCTTTGAAGGGTGTAGATTTTTGGCTTGTTGAGAGTAAGCCCTATTTCAGTTGGTGCCTAAGGAAAATGCTGAAGAGGAGAGGTGAGGTTCAGGCCTTCTTTACTGGAAACTTGAATGGGACTAAGACCTCTGCTAGATGGTTTTGGAAAGAGATTAGGGAGAAGCATGAGAAGGTTGTGTGGCAGAAGGTTATATGGTTCCCTATGCATGTTCCCAAGCATTCCATAATTGTTTGGTTGGCTATTCTGGATAGGTTGCCTACTGATGGGAGCTGCAGGACTGTGTGGTGCCTGAGACTAGATGCCATATATTCTTTGGATGCTGTTTTTCTCTAGTAGTTTGGAAGGCTATTCTTTGTTTGTTTAGAATTGATAGGGCTGTGGGAAGCAGGGAAGGTGAGTTAAATTGGGCTGTTGCTTGTCTTAAGGGCAAGTCTTTGGTTGTTAACATTCTTAAAATTGCTTGGTGTGTTTATATATATTGTATGGGAGGAGAGAAACTATAGGCAACTCAGGGGTATAAGTAGGAATATTGGAGAAATTGTTGAAAATATTAAAGGGATTGTGAGGGTTAAGGTGTACAAGAGAATCATTAGAAGTGATGTGGTTAACCATAATCTTTGTATAGCATAGCATGAGGAATTAAGTCCTCTTAGAGGGATATTTTGTGTCTTGTATTGATTGGTAGCAGCATTTCTTTTAATTGTTTCTTGGATAATAAAATGAATTACTTATATAAAAAAATAGATAATAAAACCAAATTAATTGAATAAATTAAACATGCAACTAAAAATTTTAGTTGATTTGATTTTCAATCCAAATATGTTTATAATATTTGATGCTTATGATTGTATATATAATTATATTTGTATTTTTTAATAATAAATAAACCAGCAAATGCAAATGGGTTTGATAGAACATAGAAAAGAAGGATCCACAATTATGGACAAAAAGATCACAAAACTGTCAAACACGACGCCGCTGGAAAGCACACATCCCAAAGAAACTCCACAGCTCAGATTTGGATCATTTTAATCCCCGATTCCAGATCAGATTCTCTTCATTCAACTTTTCAAACTCATTATCAACGATCCTACCTCATGTATCTCTCTCTTACTCATCCAAATCTTTGAACTATTAAGATTCTCCATTGGTGAGTTCGTCTGCTAAGGATTTCATCGGTTGGATTCCTCTGCATTCTCATTGTAAAGTTGGTTTTTTTTCTTTTATTTTTTCCCTTTTGAATCTTCATTGGAACATTTTTGGGATTGTGAAGACAATGGGAAGACGATCCAGGCAACAACTGAATCAAGGCATGTTATAGACGAAATTCGGTGCAATAGGTCTGTCTATGTTCTTCGTGATCTGCATTCTTCACTCGGCGATTGCCATTACGAGTGGATCCTTGAAAATGTTCTACCTTGACGAGATTTGTGTATTCGGCCACGGTGTCGAAACGGCTCAAAAGCTTTCAGGTTCAACCCCACATGATCAACTGTTGATTCAGACATCCAATTCTTTCGTCGGTTTGCTTCTCTTCGTAGTTGGATTCTTGGTGTTCATAGTAGCATTCATCAACGACAAACAGTTCCAGAGCTTTTTCGCCAAAGGGTGTGTGCTCCTCCACTTATCGATGGCTCTTTGGAGAGTTAATTTCGAGAGGAGATTGGAGGATCTGGCTTGGGATTGGCCCAGACAAGTGGTTGGTGATTTCCTGCTGGCTCTTTCTTGGATCTTCATTTTACTCCACTTGGAAAGAGAAGTATGATTAGCATTATTATTTACCCTAAATTTGATAAATGCTTTTACATGTAATGTGTTCTGGGGAATGAAATGCAAGTTTGCTAGCTTAAGTAGTCATGATTCATGAACCAGTATTTAAGCTAAATCCTTCATTTTTTTTAATATGTTACATTTACTGTCAATGTTAATGGAACAAAGCTAGAGCTGAAAGAAAATTGAAGGGATTAACTAAAATGTTACGATGGAATTCGTTTATCGGACGAAACCAATTCCCAACACAGTTGGTCATCGTACAATCAGAATCAAATATGATGTAATCGAAATATAGACTCAAAGAACAGAAATCGATTCTGCAACAAAAAAAAGTACAGCAGAAAATTAATGCAGGAGGCAACCATCATTTTGGCAGTCTAACAAGAATATAAAGGTTAGATGGTACTTTCTTCATCAGAAGTTTCCGAGTCCCCTATCGGGCCAAGGGAACTGACATCAACGTTTCCGTCTGCAATACTCCTAACTAATCTATCATAAGCATCAATTGACAAATGGCCTTTAACATTAAACAACTCCAACAGCTCTTTAGCCGCTTCTAAGTTATTCTCGCGTTCCAAAAATTTGAGACAAGCAGCCAAAGTACCAGTGTTAGGTTTCCACCTTGAGTTGCTACACGAAATTGCAGCCTTCAAGGTTTCAACTGCCTCAGCCATCTGTCCGTCCATTTGATATCCAGTTGCCAGACTATTCAATATAAATGCATCAGGCTCTTTAATGACACCTCTTTCTATCAGTCTCTTTGTATATGCTTCAGCCTTTTCAACATATCCCTTTTTGCAATATGCACTGATCATCACATTCGGAATCCGAGCATCGCAAAATGAGCATCCAATCTCCCATTCTGCCAGAACCTTCTCGGCACCATCCAAATCATCCAACTTTACCAATGAGCTTATCATGCATAAATAGCCTGAATTAAAGAATTTCCCCAAGTTTCTGTACAAGTTCCATATACGATATACATCTTCTTTTCTCCCTAGATTAGTATATATCGTGAGGAACACTTCATAAGCATGCTTTCTTGATGACTGGGGAACTAGTTGCTCTGCTCTGCTCAACATTTGTAAAGCCTTTACAGTTAACTTGGCTTTCAAGTACGCATTTGATGCAATAACATAAGCATTCCAATCCATAGAGATTTCAGCATCATTCTCCATCCTGGTCAGGAATTTCTCCATCCCCTCAATATCGTAAGACGACGCATATGCATTCAGCCGAATGTTGTTCGTGAAAGCATTATGCTTAATTCCCTTATCTGTCATCTCTTGCATAAGGGCATCTAACTTTTCATGTTTTCCTAGGTGGTTGTAGAGATTCAACATTACATTATAGGACACTGCAAAAATCGGAAGCCCCGATTTCCTCATGATTTGGAAGGTGTCCTCTGCTTTTTCTAAACATTCGTGATTTGCATAGCAATTTAAAAGGGCACCATATACCTGGAAAGTTTTCATAGCCTCAGGAAGACTGTTGAAATATTTCTCAGCTTGATCCAAACCGTGCACTTTTGAGATCAAATCCAGCTTTACAGCCATATCTCCAACTGAAATATTATACTTCATTTCTTCGCTCATATACTCCGATACCTGCCAAAATATCATTTTTAAAGATTCAGGGGTCACATGAATATGGGGCAATCTTAGAAAATAAGATTTCCCTGTTGCTTCTCGTTACATTCTAGTGTACCTCAAGGGCGTGCTTGTAGCGTCGGAAACTGCGGAGATGTCGGATTATAACTTGGAGCGTGGATTGCTTCATGGGTTTGCCCTCTTCGAGCCATTGGTTGAGCACAGGGACGACGGAAGATTTGGGATCGCCGGACCGAGAGACGCGAGTGTGCAAAGTATCGGGTGACTTTGAAGGGGAAGGGCGGCTGAGAGTCTTCGTGGAGTAGGCCATAACTCTCAGAATCCTAGAAATGGAAGAATAGGTCCATGGATTTGATACAATGGGAAGCTTCATCGCTACACTAAAGAATATGACTTTTCGACAAGAGGGGGTCGATTTCGATACAGTGTTGAAAACTTAGAGTGAATGACTATTTTAATCAGACTAGGGTTTATGAGAACCGAAAAGCCGAGGGTTTTAGTGTGGATCCGGCGGGCCTCTTAGATTTGATTTTAATACTTATTTTAATATTTAAAAATAATTTTTAATAGTCTAAAAAGATTACGAGTTAATATATATTTAATTTTTTTAATTATTTATAATAGATATATATTTTATAGACATAGTTGTTTAAATCGGGCAAGAAATGACCATCTAGCTCAGTTGGTAGAGCACAAGGTTCTTAACCTTAAGGTCGTGGGATCGAGTTTTATGGAGGGCATTTCATAATTTGGAGGTCTCCTACGGAAGCTGCTCTCAACCTAGTGTTGGGGGCAACCTACTATCTTACCTCCCCTTACCCCATTACATATGGGAACAAGGTACAACCATTTATTGTTTAAATCGGGACATCTAAAGAAAACAATACTTAATTTATTATTAAGACATTTGATGAATTAGATAATTTAAACTATATAGATTATAAAAACAAATTCTAAAATATTTTAAATCAAAAATAAAAAATTATCAAGTTCGGGATTAATTATTACTTTATTATTCGTATAAAATTTCTTTTTTCAAATAAAAAATCCATTAGTTAACTCGTTAAAGATATTCATATTATCTCCTCATGACATTTATCTTAGAAATATAATATTTCTCTATTTAATAAAAAGTAAAATTGATATTCATAAATGTTATGTATTTGTAATTCGAATAGCATATTTAGATATTCAAACAATTATAAATTCATAGATTGTGAATTCAAATAATATTCGGATTATAATATTAAAATTATTATTCTTACGAATTCAGAGTATTATAACTATAAAAATTTCGATACAAGTGCAGCAGTTCATGCCCGAAAGGGAAACAATGACAAGCTTTCCGTCCATATCATACAAGTATTAAGTATACGTTTGTTTTTTTACTCTATCTCTTCACTCATTTTACAGGACCATATTGGCGATCAATTTATCCCGGGATCAGGTCCGGATGGAGGTACCGGCTGACCTTTCGGAAGCATTGTTCCGAGAGCCGCAAACCTCGGCTCTAGGGATGGCAACGGGGCCGTTTCGGACCGGAGATTGGTCCCCTGTCCCCGTTTAAAAAACTCATACTCATCGCCGTTTAAAAAACAGCGGGAATTTAAACGGATATCCCCATCGGGTAATCGAAGAAAATCGCGGGGAAACGGATATCCCCGTTTAGCATAAACGGTTATTTAAACGGGTAATTTTCACCGCAGGAAAAGTGATGAGTAGGTCAAGATGTGTTCTCCTAAATCCTAATCTCCTTTATATATATATATTTTTAATTTAATTTAAATTTATTAATATTATATATATATATATAAAATAATTATTTTTAACATTTATCGGGTCAGGTATTATGGTAATCGGGGCGGAGATTACCAAACTCGTCCCTGTCCCTATCCCGTTTAAAAAATTCGGTTTTTCTCCGTCCCCGTCCCCATTTATCATCCCCGAACCTGACCCGTTTAATTCAGTTTTTCTCGACGGGTTCGGTTTTTTTGCCATCCCTACTCGACTCCAATGTGTTATCGGCTCGAAATCCAGAAAACCCTGCCGGAGATGAGGGGCGTGCATGAAACTGTGAACCTCCCAAGAGAAAGAGAGCAACAATGGCTACAACGATCAAGAAATTCATCAACGATCGGTTTAAGTTTCCCATTCTTTTAGTGCCTTGAGTAGAAGAAATTATAAGGGCTTATATATAAAAGGCTGACGAGCATCTTCGTGCATGAAAGGTGGGCCGGACCGGCTTGTCAACTGGGATATTGCACAGCCTGTACGAGTAAGGATGGAGCATGCAGTTGCCGGCTGATTTGAGGATTGCTCATTGTTTTTGCTTAAAATATTTTCCGGAATTCCAAATGGCCGGCTACTTGTTGCCGCTAAAATGGAAGAAAACTTATTTGAAAACCCATGTACAAAATCAATTGTAAGTTTGATTACTTGATTTTATTTTTCAAATTTTAGATATTACCAAAGGTGGTGTCATAAATTGATGAATTTTAGAATTGAAAGGGTAAAACTTAAAAAAAAAACTTAAAAATGAATGATATAATTTAACCCATAGTTTGTAAATAAATGGGTGGAAAAAAAGTTGATATATCATGTATAGGGGTGTACAAAAATACCCGACCCGTCGACCCAAACCTAAAAAAGGGGCAATTTTCTAAAAAATTACTCGACCCGATATTTCCTGGGTCGGACCCGGGTCACAAAATTGAGTTTTTCCGGGTACCCGATTACCTGTGTACCCTGTTAGTTTATATATATATATGTATAATATAATCCAATTACTAAACCATTAACATGATAATTTGTATAAATATTGATATTATTTGTAATTGGATTAAGTTTTGATAGTTTAGTAATTGGATTATGGCTATCAAATATGATATTAATTTTATTGTATTAATTTGTAATTGGATTATAATTGGATTAAGTTGTGATAGTCTAGGTAATTAAAATCTAGGTAATTAAATTATATAAATGGGTTGTGATTATAATTTAATATCATAATTGGATTAAGTTTTGATAGTTTAGTAATTGGATGTTAATGACTATCATAATTCATATTTACCCTAGTTAGCTATGAATTTTTATGTTTTATTTATATTATAGATTATTAGATTTTGTATTTCGAACTTTTAAATTTTATGTTCGGATGTTGGAGTATGTAATTCGAAGTTTCGAACATTTAAGTTTGTGTGCATATTTTTTAAAATTAATAATTTGAAAATGAAAAAAAATCGGGTACCCGAATTACAATACCTGCAAAATCCGAGTATCCGACATCCGAGTCGGGACACGGGCCGACAAATCAACTACCCAAAGACTCAGGTACCCGACACTTCGGGTACCCGGATTTGAACACCCCTAATCATGTATATAAACATGTTTGTGAATCTAAATAAATATACTTATGAATGTTAAATGAGCATGTCACAAATATATATTTAAAGATATTTACGAATATTAAATAAATATGTTTACGAAAATTAAATTGACATGTTTACTGAACGAATGAATGTAAACCTATATAAATACTCTTGAAAATATTTACAAATATTAAATAAATATGTTCACAAAAATTAAATAGATATGTTTACTATTTGAATATAAACTCATATAAATACTCTTGAAAATAAACAAACAAAAACTCCTGCTCAGATAAACCAATATCATAAATCAAAAGCAATCTATGAGACATAGAAGAACATAAGAAGATAAACTCGTAATCAGTGAGAACAAAATCAAACAGGACCAAATCCTTCAAAATTTAAACAAAACAGAGAGATTCACAAGGGAGAATAATGCTTCGTTGGCAATCGTCATCAGGTTCTAATATGCTTGACCTTGGACCAGCCTTTCTTGCAGGAATTTCCGACGATCTTCACACCCTTCTTGAAGAATACCTTGAGCTCCTTGGCTCTCTCCTTCAATCGCAGCTCGAAACCCGCCATTGACAACGACAAGTTAAAGGTCTTCAAGCTTTGCGTAGCGTCTGTAGTTTCCTCTGTAAACTTCTGGAATCAGGGAGTAAACCCCAGGCCCCTTTTTAAGCTGACCAATAGCTGAGAGCGAGTGCCTCGTGGGTCTTTCCAGATTTGACGAAGCTGCAAGCTTTGCAATACGGTCAGCTACACGGTTCCGTCTCGTGCTATGTACTTGAATCGAACGTTCCAGCTTTTCTTCTCCAATTCTCGAATGTGTGATAGTATGACCATTCTGTCTTGGTTTCCAATCTTGTTTTCCATTAGCTGAATGGCGTCCTCATTGTCTAGTTCCACCTCGATTTGGTGAAGCCCCAGTTCCCATCCCATTTTCATTCCTATATATGCACCCCAAAGTTCAGCTGGATTTCTGGAATTTTGAAGCTGGATCTAATGTCAGCTGGAGCTTTTGCCGAATTCTCAAGTTGAGATCTATTGCTTTCCCTATAGTCTCGGGTGCTCATCAGCCGATCAAGGAAGTCTGGGATAAGATTCGGATACAACGCATGAAGGTTTGTTGGCACAAACTTATCTGGTACCCTTTGCATATCCCAAAACACAGTTTTATTTCATGGATGGCCTTATTGAATCGGTTACCAACCAGAGACAGGTTGCAAAAATTGGGTTTATGTACTGATTCTACATGTGTTAACTGCTGCCAAGATCAAGAATCGCGGGATCACCTATTCTCTCACTGTCCTTTTGTTATTGGACTTTGGAAAGCAGTTTTACGACTGAATGATATGACTATTCCTACTCTTACTTGGGAAACTATGGTTTCTTGGGCTAGCACAACTTGGAGAGGGAAGTCTCTTATCACCACCTTATTGAAGATTTCTTGGAACGCTTTTATCTACTTCATCTGACAGGAAAGGAATTATCGTATTTTCCAGGGTCGGCAAAGATCGATTGATATTTTGCTTAATGACATTATTGAAACTGTTAGCATTAGACTTAGGGGCCAAGCTATTAATAGACTTGATAGTACTAACCAATTGCTTTGTAATGCTTGGGGTATAGTCTAACCAATCTTTGGTTTTTTGTTTTAGGTTACTTTGTCTCTTTGTTGGTTGATTTGTTGTAGCATAACATTGCTATTTTGGGTAATAAATTCTTATTTATCCAAAAAAAAAGTTCAGCTTCAAGTAATATTTTATTTTGGAGTAAAAGAGTTTTTTTATTGATGCAAACTATTATTCAACAAATAGTTAATGCTATAAAATAAATTTATTTTTTATTTTAATCTTAAAATGAATAGTTATTGTCAAAATGTTTTTAAAAAAGGAATAAAAAAATAAAGTGATTAATTAATCAAGTTAGGAGTATTTTTATCCAAAAATAAAATATTAAGATAAAATACTCCAAAATAAAGAATAAGGATAAAAAATTACATAATCAAATGTTAAAAGTATTGTTAATGTTATGCCTAAAATAAAATAAGTGTCCAATTATTAATGGATGGTAAAACACCACTTAATGTTTTAATAACAATGTGATAAATGATTATCTTGTTGTTCATAAATAACAACACCTACCACGTTCTTATTAACTGATATAATTAAGAGACTAAACTAAGTATCAGTGTAGCCTTTAATACGTTTGGATCGCACAAGAAGAAGAGATAATGTGGAAGAAACATCTTATAAGTCAGGAAAAAGGCTCTCGTTTTTCACACTCAATATATATATATGCATTAACCATACCCAGGGGCGGACCTCCATGGTGCCCGGGTATCCCGGGCAACCCCTCATCCAGGGGCGGATCTCTATGGTGTCCGGGGTATCCCAAGCAATCCCTCCACAAGTATCACCCTTAATACAAGTGTCACCTCTGAACTCTTGCAACTCCTGAATTTTTGTCCTGAGTCCGCCACTGACCATAACTGCTACAATATATATATATATATATATATTAGTGGAAAGAGAAGAAGAAATAGACAGATTTAATTGGTGATTTATTCCCCAACGATCAGTTCAGTGGTCCATGTTAGTGCTTTTTCACAAAATATTAAAAAAATAAAATAAAATTAGAACACTCGACTCTTTTTCTCTTATTCATATATGAAGGCTGCCCAAGCTGTCTGCAAGACACTCAAATTTTCAATGCTAACATAAACTGTCGGCAGAAACTAGTTTCCACTGCTGTCCTACCTTTTCCCTTTACTTTCGTCAACTTAATATCCACCGTCTAAGGCTGAACAGGCGGTGGTGCCGCCTGTTTACACAATGCAGCACCGCGGTGGAGTTGTGTTTGTCACATTATGCTTCATTGTGTTTCTGCAGTGTTTAATGGCGTCTAGTCAGGTCCCGGCGCCGCATAAAATGGACCTACATTAGCATCCCACCACCGCCACTTGGTAAGGAAGTCCTGAAGGAGATGGTAGCGACGGTAAGTATCCACAATTGGATTAATGCATCTTAGATATGAGACTCAATATTTTGGCTTGGATTTTACTTTTTTTCTCTTCTAAAGTAATAATGGTGGTTTGTGTTTGGGATATTGTGCAGGTGGGGCATGTGGGTACGGGTCACTAGTCGACGTGAAACCATTCAGGGCAAGAGTAGGAGCGGTGAGCCCGGTGCTGTTCAAGAACGGGGTAGGGCGTGGGCCATGCTTCAAAGTGAAGTGCCTCGACAAGAGCATATGCTCAAGGAGAGCCGTCACCATCATTGTAACCGACGAGTGTCCCGGAGGGTACTGCGCTAATGGCCGCACCCATTTCGACCTAAGTGGTGCGGCCTTTGGCCGTATGGCTATAATCGGTGAGAATTCGCAGCTCAGGAACAGAGGCGAACTACCAGTTGTTTATAGAAGGTATGGCTACCAGTTGTCATTTCTTTCCTTTTATTTACATTTTACACAGTTTTTTATTTAGTTTCTAAAATGAAAATTATAGGACCCCATGTAAATATCCGGGGAAGAACATTGCCTTCCATGTTAATGAAGGCTCGACTGATTACTGGCTATCTCTTCTGGTGGAGTTTGAGGATGGTGATGGAGATGTTGGGTCAATGTATATAAGAGAAGTACGCCCTCTTCACTTTTCCCACAAAACTATTTAACCCTCAATTTTACTTTCATGCTTGCATGAAAAAAATAACATTAATAACAATGTGGTGCCCATACCTTTAAAAGGGTAATGGCAGAATGTTTTTAAAACCCTTTCATTATTATATTAACCCATGTTTAAAGGTAGGGTAGTCCCAATATATTGGATATGTCTGTTAAAATAGGTCAACATATACCCCACTTTTATTAAGAAAACATTGCCTTTATGTAAATGGCGCCAATGTGCAAAATGCTCAAAACCCCACTTTTTCTTCAACTGATTACTTGAGTATTGTCTTGCATCTTCACTCCCCCTGCATGTGACAATAGTGAACCCAGTCTTACACTCAAAGCTTACACATTCTTCTCTCATTCTCTTTTGTCTTCCCTTTAAACCACAAAAGGCAAAAGTTCATCATATCATCACATCACCATGTATGATTAGGGTACCGCCAACATAGATAAATGATGTCTGACCTTAATAAGTTCGATCAAATTTATTTTTGATTTTTTTGTTGTAATAATTTATCAAAGTTCAAAAAGATATGCGTAAATTGTTTCTAGAAAAAGGCCTATGTATATGAATGGATATTGAGAAATTGGATGTTGTTGACAATGGTAGGCAAATTCTAATGAGTGGTTGGAGATGAGCCATGTTTGGGGAGCAAATTGGTGTATTATTAAGGGACCCTTGAAAGGACCCTTCTCGGTGAAACTAACAACATTGTCAACAGGAAGAACACTGTCCGCAAGGGATGTAATTCCCAGAAACTGGTCGTCAAAAGCAACTTACACCTCTCGCCTTAACTTCAAGCTCTGAAATTAAAGAGCAAAACAACAATTGGTCCATGGCAAAGTGCCCTTTATTTTGTTTATCATATGGTTTTGTTTCAGTTACTATCTGCAGTGTGCAAGTGTGATTATATAGATCAGTGTAGGTCAAATAATTTCTTAATCTAATCCTAATTATTTTATGATATATATATATATATATATGTTCATTTTATTCATACACATTATTAAAATTTCCTTTTACAGATAAATTAAAATTCAATTTAATTAACTCCGAGTTTAATTGAATACCTGGTTTTCAGTATCAAGCTTCAACATTAGAGTTCTTGCTTTAACGCAATAAAACATAAAAAAATTAAAATTTACATTCTCCATATGATCTAACATGAGAAGAAAAGAATACCAGAGAATCTTTAGGATGTTCATCACTGCTTATGTAGCAGACGCTCCTTTTTGAGAGCCATGAATTTGGCTGCTATGTCTTCATACTGCGGCAGCTTCGGATGGACATGGTTAGGGTTGTGAACCGATAATGAATTCGACCGAGCAACGTTGTACCTATGTATCTCTCTCGGCCTTTCTTGCGGCATTGTTACGGCCCTCAGATATGGACCTTCCGTTCCTTTTCTCGTCTCGGAACCACCCACAGTCTCCTTTTGTATTCTCGGTAATGCCAAAACTTCATACACACTCGGACCATCGTCGTAGCTTCTTCTCCTCAGATTCCGGGTTTCGTTATTGGAAGAACATCGACAATTGCAAAACTTGTCACCTGGAATTTCTTCCGCAACACAAACAGTACACTGCCCCGACTTTTGAGCAATGCGGTGAGGCTGTTTAGGCCTCTTCAGAACATAAGTTGCTTCTTTACTTTCTGCTAATGTTTCCTTATTGTGGAGCTTTCTGCCGTGATGAGATTTATGCTTGTGATTCTCGTAATAAATCTCGTGATCAACGTCCTTCATGCTTGAACGTTCGATGCAGAACGACCTCCTCCTTGATTTGTTCCGCGGCTTTGGCTTCTCATTATCCGTTTCACCGTCACCATCCATGCCGCCAACAACCACTCCACTTGTAGGCAGACTGAGCGACTTGAACTTGAATAGTCTCTGGTCCTGACAATCTGCTTCTTTTCTCATGGAAGATTGTAGCTCTTCTATGTCATCAAGATAGACAACTACTTCCTCAGAGAACCGAGGCACACTTTCTGAGGAAGACGTCGCTTTCCGAGGCAAACTAATCCGGTCGATGTTCCGGCCTTGTCGATCATCGAGACAATCCGCTGTCGATTGAAATTGCAAAGGATCAACTTGTATGGATTTGCCTTCACTCCCATCTGAACCCTGCATTTTGGGAATTCTTTGTTTCACTTATGGTCACATTAGCATGTAGGACTTCATCAAAAACTAGTTACCTGGCGTTGCAAATCGGGGAAGTATTCAAGTGCTAGAAATGCAGGCTGTAAGCAGTAATTTCGAGTTATTTCATCGATCAATCTGCACTTAGAATCATCCGAAACCGATTTTACAGACAGCTTCTCTTGTATCTGCGTTCCAAATTTATCAAATGCTTTGTATCAATAATCAATCAATGATTAAAAGCAAGTAAAACCAACACTTAGGATAACAAATGACAACCTCACGGTTCACCAGATTCCCGGGAAGTAATTCAACAGCCACCGTCACGAACCGATGCCCGTAACGGTCCCCGAAGAGCTTACGAATCGCAGTAAGCTCGGGAAGTTCCGCGCATCTTGCAGAAGCGAATATAAGGCTAGAAACTGCTTCATTGATATCATTAGGGCAGTCCCTAAAATACCAGAATTGTTCATAGTCAGAAACATGAATCGATTGTGAAAAGGAAACTGTTGTTAAGAACTTAAGATGGAAAAAGTACTTGTTTCTGCAAATATAAGACAATTGAAATTTGATAAATTCACAGAACTGATCCAACATATCATAGACTGCCATTAGATTCTCATCATTAAGAAGCTGCTCAGCCTGAAAACGAAAGAGTTAACAGAGGAACACAGCAGAGGAGAATAACAAGAGTAAACAAATCTCGCCTCTTTACCCGATTAAAAGCAGTTTCTTCATAGCCAAGTTTAATGAGCTGAGCAAGATCCTCCCGTAGCTGTTTCACAATCGTAAACCTCTTGTTCTTCAAGAGCTTCAAGCGACACTGAACACGCTTGATAAGCTTTTTACTGCAAATGCGAAAAACACACACAAATAAAACCAATAAAACACCGTATCCAATAAGCCTCTTTTCTTCCCTAAGACCATTACCATTTTGAAGCTTTCCTCCAGCCGAAAAAGATGTCGAACATGCTTCAAGAACTATATATAGATAACCCTTTGGTGTGTTGTAGGTTCAGCGGTGAGACAGAGGGAGCAACAAGCAATGAAAGTGAAAGCTAAAGCTTGAGCTTCTGGTTCATGATGATTAGGTATGGGGGGATTGGTGATGGAGGAGGGCATACCGCATATGCATGAATGAATGATTGGTGGTTTTGGGTGTTAATAATTAGGTGGAGTTGGTTTGAAAAGTGATGAAAGTGGGAGCAGACAGTTCAAGTCTGTGGGAAGAAAAAAGAAACTGCTTCCACCACTCTCCTTAATGACTACACTTTGGCATGTGTCACTCTTTAACTTGATTATAAAGATCAAGAAAACCTAAAATAAAATAATTGTAATCTAATTAGGAGAAGAAATGCCACGTGTCATTCTGTATGAAACGAACAAATGATAAAAACTGAAACCTTAATCCAGAAGCTGTGACCCCATTTCTGATGTGCTAATGTCGAAGAAAGTGGAAGAAAGTACAAAACAAACAACAAAAGAGGTTGGAGAGAGCAGAAGAGTGCGTGGTTATTAGCAGCGGCAGGCGCTGCGGTCAAACAAATAGGTAATCAAGCCCACCACCTTCTTCGTTTAACTTCATAATTGGTGCTGCTGCCAAGCATGCAAACGCTGTGCATAACGTGCACAAAGGACAGTGGGGTCATTGCTTAAACCCATGTAAGAATGGATTAGATAGGCTATTCATAAATTATAAGATGATAATGAATTCAATATTAAACAAATATAGAAATAATGATGATGGTGACCCCAAACTTCACCCTTACGTATTCTCATTTTTGTATTAGTTTTCGTCTGAACCAGGAAGTGGTCAAAACTTGTCCAAGTGGGGGTTTATGTGGTTTGTCCTCGTATATATTATAGTTTCGTGTAGGGAAATTCAAATACTAATCACGGCCCTTAAAGATGTAAAAGTGCATTTTAGTCCCTTCCAAAGTTTAAAACTTTAATTTGGACCCTTTAAAAGAGTTTTCCAGCTCCACCAATTCCATGCTAACCCTTTTTCGATTTTATAGTTTCTTTGAATATTTATTAATCAAAGAGTGGCTGATTAGTTCACTGCATGCATACATGTAATTTAACAATTGTTGGGTTTTTTTTTCTAAATAAAAATTTCATTTATTTTCTTTTTCACCAACGAAATGATTCACCAGAATCACAGCATTTATCCCTAAAACATCCCCTAATCAGCACACAAAATCAGATTAACCCTATCAGTTCTATCAATATAACACCTACTCAATTTAATCCTAACCATCTCCTTTACACATTCAACAATGACAGAAACCGATCGCCTAGTTACTCTTAACAAACGATGATTACGCTCCTCCCAAATGTAATAAAGCAACCCTGCCCAAGCCAGCTTTAGGATACGAACAAGAAGAGAACCACCTTTCAAGTTTTCTATTGCCCACAGAAGTTGATCATCCCAACTCAACCCTCTGAATTTCAGCCTGCAAGCACACAAAATTCCCCTCCAAACCTCATTTGAGAAGGGGCACTCAATGAACAAATGGCATCTAGACTCCATAGCGACATCACAAAGATCACACATACCATCAGTAGTTATCCCAATCTATCTTTTGAAGGCAACTTGTCTAAGATGGCCATCCAAACTATAATGGAATACTTCAGCACATGGATAGGGAACAAAAGAAGCCTGTGTCACTATACTTTTTCCTTCAAAACTTTAGTATTATCTCAAATTCACTTACAATTAACCTTAGACCAATTCAAACTAGAATTGAACAAGGCACTAGCTTCACCTCTCAACTTAAGCATTTTTCTAAAAATCCAGCTGAAATGAGCCTTTCATTTCACCTACAAAAATCATTACCCTCCAACACATATTCCTTCAACCAAGCCACCAAAAGAGATCCCTCATTCGCAAGAATATTTTTAACCAACAACAGATTACATATCCTACTCCAGCAAAGCAAACTTCTCAATCCCAAATCCCCCTCGGATTTTAAGGGGCAAACGTGAGATCAGCTTACCCGAGCCCCCTTCGCAGGAACATCATTGTCCTTCCAGAAAAATCGCATACACAATCTCTCAATCTGCAAAATCACAGCCTTAGGCAAAATAAGCTATCTACTCTAATAACTAAAAACACTAAACAACACCGCTTTAATCAATTACAACCTCTCACCATAACTGAGATTCCTATTAGACCACTTGCCAAGCTTATCCCTGATTTTCTCCAACAAAGGCAAGCAATCTTTTTCTCTAATTTTTCTTGTCACCAGAGATACTCCAAGGTACCTCATAGGGTGATGATCTGTCTTGAAACCAGTGACTCCTTGAATTTTCATAATCTTGTCACCAGCTAAACCACTAACAAAAAACTCGGTCTTAGCTGCATTAAGTATGAGGCCAAACATTTCATAAAATTGCTCCAGAGTACTTAACACCCTCAAGACAGCATCCAAAGACCCATGACAAAAAATAAGCAAATCATTCGCGAAGCACAAATGGGTAAAAGGCACCCTACGACACTTGGGATGAAACCTGAAAACCTCATTTATTGCAACAACATCCAATATAGCAGATAAAACATTCATGACTATCACAAACAGGTAAGGGGAAAGAGGATCCCCTCCCTGATACCCCTTTCACCCTTAAAATAGCCAACCAAGCTACCATTGAAAGAAATTGAGTACATCGGATTGCTGATACACACCTTAATCCATCATTGGAATTTTCCAGAAAGACCTAAAGCCTCAAAAAAAAAATCCTAGTTAACAGAGTCAAATGTCTTCTGCAAATCAATCTTAATAACACATCGAGGAGAAATAGATTTCCTTCCATACCTCCAAACCAGTTTCCTGAGCAAGCAATGTTGAAATCATATTAGGGAAACAACCAGCAATCCTATTTACAAGGATTCTAGTAATATTTTTATAAACTACTGAGCAGCAGGAAATTGGCCTAAACTTAGCGATACTAGCATTCAAAGATTTAGGAATGAAAGCTATTGCCGTAACATTAAACGCAACCAACAAAGAGGATTCTGTAAAAAAGTACTTAATTGCATCCAAGAAATCCTCCTTCACAATCTCCCAAGGCACCTTAAAAAATCAAGCAGTATATCCATCAGGTCCCGGGCTCTTATCATTGCCCTATCGAAACAAGCCATGCTTAATCTCAATAACCGAAACCACTCTATCCAGCTCCTCAGCAGGCAAATTATAATTCAGCAACCCCTAAGACACTCAACAGAACAACTTTTAACTTCAGGATCCACTGCTCCGATGAGACTAGTATAAAACCGAATCATCTCAGCAGACATGTCCTCAAAGTCTCCAGCTTTGCACCATCCTCCTTTCTCATTACACGAATCGTATTTTTCTTTTTATTCCCTTTCACAGTCGAGTGAAAAAATCGAGTGCTCAAATCACCATCCTGCAACCAGTGAGCTTTAGCTCTTTGCTTATAAAATGCAAGTTCAACAACTTCCAATTTCAGTAGCTCAATATGAACCAAACGCTCATCACTCAATCTACTCTGTGCAACATGAGTGAGGTTATACAATTAGATTTGCTCTAACTACACCCTCTTAGCCTCGACCTTGTCATAAATATCCGAATAATGAGCCTTATTAAACTCTTTCAGTCTCGGCTTAAGTCTCTTTAACTTACAAAATAACCTCTGCATCGCATTCCCACGGGCTTCATCCTGCCACGAGCCCCTTACAATATCCATAAAATTAAGAAATTATATAACTTTCGAGTAAGCATATTTAGTTGGTCGGTTAAAATCTTCATTTTTGTTCTCTCATTTTCTTTTAGGTCATGAGTTTTAAACCCTAATAATATTCTCCTTCTTTTCCGTAGAGTCCTCCTTTCTCTTCTCTATAGATAAAATTAAGATTAGATTTAAATATGATTCATGTTCAGATTGCAAGAAGAGGGAATCACATTGAAAATGTTTTCTGGTTTTGAACCGAGAGTACGATGTAAATCGTGCAAGCAGTTTGGGCACATGGACAACTTTGTGCATTGTTGATGTTTATATATATATAATATTCATCGGTTTTGCAAAATCAATACATTAATGATGATGATATATTAAAAAAAGTAGAACAAATTATTGTATAAAGTAAAATATAAATTTCATTATTTAATTTTTTTTCATTTGTATTTTAATAATTAAAATCTTAGTTTCTTTAATTTACTTATTAAATTTCGATTAATTTTATTTTGATAATTAAGATATTAAATCATGAATGAAAGAATGACATAACAATAGTATGTGTTGATGTAGACTATTTTTTTTATTAATATGGAATATATATTTCATTCACATAATTTTTCATCTCTTTTCCTTTTATTTTATCTTCTTCTTCCAAAGATGGAAGTTTTACGATTTCATCATCATATCACGTCGACACTTAATTACTATTCTCTAATGTCTTCGCCGACTACTCAAGATATCGATGGATTCGTCTCATTATCTCGTATCATTCTATCAATTTAGATTTTACTTAAAACCGTTTTAAAACTCATAAAATTCAATCTCAATACCTAAACTCGTGAAACTCCAAACCATTTTAATCTATAATATCCACCATCTGATCAACGTGAAATCAAGATATACAATTCACTCTCTCCTTCACCTTACCACCATTAGAATTTGGAAGAAGTTGCTTCATCATAGAAAAACCAAAAGAAATTCAAAAGTAGGAGTTTTTTTCATTAAAAAGAAAATAAGAAAAATTTAGGGTAATTTTATAATTTTTAGAAAGAAAATTATCTAATCATAATGTCATTAAGCATTTAACAGTAATATGATTAAAATATGAACAAATAAAATATTTAGCGAATAAGTTGAAAATTTTGATACTCTAGTGATCAAAATAAGATGAGATGAAAGTTGATTACCGCTGCTGTTGTTTCACCTAAACATAATAAGTGTCAAGTTAAAGTAGAGATAATACTAACCAGAGGAAAGTAAAGCTTACACAGCCCACCTTCCTCGAAAGTGGCATATTCAACATTCAACAACAATTCTTAAACGATATCGGAACAGCCGCGCAAATCGCCGATCGACAATTACATGATTTCAAAGAACCAAACCGCATAAACGATACCAGCGATACCACAGCCGTCTTAATCTTAATCCCCACCATCTTCAGTTTCCTCGGCTTCGCCTTGGGTTTTCCCCACTCGTCTCCCACCGCTGATAACTTGTATGATCTCAAGAATATCTGCCTCTTCTTAGCTCGATCTCGCCTGTAACTCAACGAAGCCACCACGCTCTGACCTCTCCTCTTGGAAAACGTCCTGT